CAACTGTAAATACGTAAAAAAAATAAGTCTGAACTTTACCTTTTGTATTTCTAGTTGTTATTCAGCACTCTTGCATTTTCCTGAGAATCTCTGGTGCGTAGGTAACGGAAGTACAGATACACTGCTTTGCAGAAAGGCTGAAGTTAACTGATATTACTGTGAAATAAAAAACATAATCAAGTATCTGTGGGATGTGCTCAACAAACAAGAACAAACAAGGCCCCGCCTTGCGATTTACAGGACTTAAAGGATCTGCTGCTAACATCTTGGTGCCATATACCACAGCAAACCTTCAGGGGTCTAGTGGAGTCCATGCCTCGATGGGTCAGGGCAGTTTTGGCAGCAAAAGGGGGACCAACACAACATTAGGAAGATGGTCATAATGTTATGCCTGATCGGTGTATATAGCTCGGTAAAAGGTGAATTCGAACCTGGGTCGATCGCGTCAAAAGCCAGTTTTGAAAATTGTACACTTTACTGCCTACACCACTGAAGACATTGAGTTGAATGTGTCTTTTTTAAATCTTGAGTGTCCCAACCAGACATTGGTGGACAGAGTTAGTGTAAATAGCGTTTGCCAACAAGCACGCTATTTGCACTTGGTGTAAAGACACTCTGGAATTTTTTTTTCTTCCCCTCGCTTGGGCCCCAAGTGCACACATGCCCGTGCCTGTAATGCCCATTGATAATCCGGCCCTGGTATGGGGTGAGTAGGGCACAAAATAATGTGGGTTTAGTTGTAACACACATGGTTTAAACTTTTCCACACGTGCTAGACTTACGGTATTTACAACTACTATATAACGGAAAAAAAAGTGCCAAAATTCAAAAATCTTTTGAAGATATTGCTGAACTTTAATTTAACCATAGCAAAAGCAAATTTCTGGCTAAAGTAAAATTTTCATCTCCGTTTTTAGTGTTTATTTAAAATGTTAAATAATTCTGGTGTTTAGCAGTTTAGTTCTTTAATGCTTGGCTAATTATCAGAAGACACTAACCAGTTTTAAACAATGAACCTTACAATGTGCCCCGCTATTATTAGAACTATGCTATTCTATGACATTAGGGATGCAATTCACATTAATTACGTTAATCAATTTAAATGAGAAATCATGAGAACCAGGTGAATAAAGACTGAGAGTTAATGTTCATGTATTATTTCAAGAAATGTAAAGAATTTTGGCTCGTCTATTTGTCTCCTGTTCTGTGAGAGCTGTGTGTGGAGTGAGGGGAGTGTTGTGTTCATCTCTGTGTTTTTTATAATGTTTGAATGTGTTTCTTCATCTGTTTGCTCACATTGTTTTGAACTATGCTGTATAGCTGTATGTTGCGATCAGGGCTGTCCCAAGCATGGGTCCTGGTTGCAATGTGTCTAATTATTTTAATTCTTAAAAACGCCATTATTTTATTTGAAAAAGTTAATACTTTTATTTTATCAAATAAATATTTTAGTTCGTCTTGTATATTTTTTCATTAGATCAGATAACATTTTTAGCTGTCATATGGTCATGTTACAATGTGCCCCACCTATGGGGCATGTTGTCACATTTAGCTTCCATTCTTTTGGGGTAAATAAAGGAAAAAACATCAATGTAATTATGGAACAAAATTGCGTATTTATATTAGACAAGTGTGAAATTAATGTGGGGAAAAAAATATACTCTGAACCCCATGTAATTTTACACAAACCGAGAAAGTCAAAAAGTGTTAGGTTGTGCCTCACTTCCCCCTATTCTGTAAAACCCATTTCCACCTCTGAAATGTATTTCCTTATGCTAAGGTCATCTAGGCTTTGTGGGCTATTGGTTAGTGTTGAAATTGGAATCCAAATAGCCGGTTAGACATTGTTTTTAGCTATTGTTGTTGAGATCATCATCTGCATCATTGTCTGGTTTGGGAACTGCAGTGTGTCTGCAGATCAGCAGATAGTCAAGACAGTGGAGGGGATCATCTGAATCTGCCCTCAGAGAGACTCCTGCGGATAATTCTTCGACAAACATTGCATCTGTAGTGCATATCGCTGACCCCTCACACCCATGCATGAACTATGTACCTCACTTCCATCTGGAAAAGGGTTTAAGAGTATCCATACTGCCACTACCTGACACTCAAACAGCTTTTTCCTTCCAGGCTGTTTAACTCTTTCTCACTCCCTCCTACCCCACTAAACCGAACCCCCAACCTCCTCTGGAAATGATCTGATACTTTAATTCTCACTGCTCATAGTTTACATTACACTCTTAGAAAAGTCTGTAAAAATATGGCCCAATGCACAGCGTTAATGTGAAGGAATTTTCTGTCATGATTTTTTACAGGTGTTTTACCAATATTTTAAATTACACATTGCATTGTGTAGTGTTTTATGGTTAAAGGAAGTATTTGCAAATGAAAAAAAATAAATAAACTGAAAATTTTCTGCCAGGACATTATCAGTTTTTCTACAGATTTCTCTCTCTCTCTCTCTCTCTCTCTCTCTCTCGCTCTCTCTTAAATCAATTAAACATTTATGTTGATATAATAATATTGATCATTACATCAACTTAATATTGTGTAATTTAAACTGTTTTTTTAACAAGTAAAGTCTTGGTAACTTTGAATATTGGGCAGTGGTTTTCAGTTTTCTATAATTCACTGCAAGTTATTTGAAAAGAGAAAATATTTATTATTCTTTGTGAATAACTGACAAAAGGAATGTGTGTGTGTGTGTGTGTGTGTGTGTGTGTGTGCATTCACTTTCATAAAACAACTCTATAATACATATTCAGGTGAGTAAAAAGTGACAAATAGACCTAATCTGAAACGTCAAGGGAGGGGAGGGAGCTTTTTATCATCACATTGATTTTTGAGACAGTATAGTAGATGAGGGAGAATGCTCCACTGGATTTACAGGATTAGTCATTTAAGAGGATAAGTGGTCATCCCCGTTAACTCAAGGTGCCAGTACCCAAGGATGAATACTACTGTATGATGCTTCATTTTAGGCTATCTTTATCAGTCTATCAACAAGTCTACCCGCGCACATTCTCTAATTTCCTGCGATTTAAATAATCTATACACGTAAATCTTTTCAGACACTCGTACACGCGTGTTTGTGCCGCCAGAGGGTGATCTTACATTGGATTCAACAGCCGCTGTTACAGCAGGAAGCGAGATGTGAGAGATTAAGTGCTGTTGGTAAACTCGAATCACTTTAACGTATCGGTTCGTTCGAATGATCCGGTCAACAATTGATTCATTTGAATCATCACGCAATAGGGTTTACAGATATCCCCGCACTGCGTTTTACAGCACTTTTTTTTAAGCAATGAAATTAATTAAGTTAAATATCCTACTATATATGCTTTTAATGGTTTTAATGATTAAAGTGATTGTGTGAAATTATGCATTGTTCACAGTTCCATGTCAGCAATGTGTTTTTTAAACTTGAATGTAACACAAAGCGTAATGATTACAACGGTACATGAATAAGAGATAATTAAGAGCCTACTGTTGCTAATTTCAGACCAATTTTTTTATGCTGACAGTATAAATTATAATGCAACCTTTGTATGACATTATAAAATGAATACCTGGGGCAAATTTAACAGTAGCCTAATATAGTTTATTTATATTTGTTTTATAGTTTAAAACGCGTTTAAAAATTTCTAAAAATATAATAGGCTACTTACGTTGGTTTCATACATTTTTGAAATACGTTATAAACAAATACTCTTCCACTCTCCATATATATTTATTTATGGAGAGTGGAAGAGTATTTGTTTATAACGTATTTCAAAAATTATATATATATTCCATCAGCTACGCGACTAGAAACATTGATGTGTAGCAAATGAAAGTCCCCGAAACTCGAATGATTCACACACGCTTTCGAATCGGTTGGATTGAATCATTAAAAAGAACCGGTTTAAAAGAACGACACGAATCGGACATCGCTGATCAGAAGAGGTGCGGCGCTTCAACTTCAAATAGGTGTCAAAACAGTGCCAGTCACCATCTCACACCTACAAGATTTGTAGTGACAGACTTGGACATTTTCAGTTCTTTCCACAGTTGAAACATTTACTTTCAGTCTGCACTGAGGATATATAGGAAGAGGTAACCGCAGATTTCACTTTTGCGCTCAGATTGTTCTTCCCGTCGCTCTCAGTATGGCTTCAACATCCTGCACCAGGTTTACCGACGTACGGAATCAGGTAACGTTTGGGACTAACAGGTAACTGTCAGTGCATTTAAACAGACTGGACTTTTCAAAAAACGTTTCAGATTGTTATTAGAAGCGTGTGCATAACTAATACTTACTTTCCCAGTTCTTCATACAGCTGATATTCGTCGGTAAACCTGGTGCAGGTTGTTGAAGCCATACTGAGAGCGACGGGAAGAACAATCTGAGCGCAAAAGTGAAATCTGCGGTTACCTCTTCCTATATATCCTCAGTGCAGACTGAAAGTAAATGTTTCAACTGTGGAAAGAACTGAAAATGTCCAAGTCTGTCACTACAAATCTTGTAGGTGTGAGATGGTGACTGGCACTGTTTTGACACCTATTTGAAGTTGAAGCGCCGCACCTCTTCTGATCAGCGATGTCCGATTCGTGTCGTTCTTTTAAACCGGTTCTTTTTAATGATTCAATCCAACCGATTCGAAAGCGTGTGTGAATCATTCGAGTTTCGGGGACTTTCATTTGCTACACATCAATGTTTCTAGTCGCGTAGCTGATGGAATATATATATAATTTTTGAAATACGTTATAAACAAATACTCTTCCACTCTCCATATATATTTATTTATGGAGAGTGGAAGAGTATTTGTTTATAACGTATTTCAAAAATTATATATATATTCCATCAGCTACGCGACTAGAAACATTGATGTGTAGCAAATGAAAGTCCCCGAAACTCGAATGATTCACACACGCTTTCGAATCGGTTGGATTGAATCATTAAAAAGAACCGGTTTAAAAGAACGACACGAATCGGACATCGCTGATCAGAAGAGGTGCGGCGCTTCAACTTCAAATAGGTGTCAAAACAGTGCCAGTCACCATCTCACACCTACAAGATTTGTAGTGACAGACTTGGACATTTTCAGTTCTTTCCACAGTTGAAACATTTACTTTCAGTCTGCACTGAGGATATATAGGAAGAGGTAACCGCAGATTTCACTTTTGCGCTCAGATTGTTCTTCCCGTCGCTCTCAGCATGGCTTCAACAACCTGCACCAGGTTTACCGACGAATATCAGCTGTATGAAGAACTGGGAAAGTAAGTATTAGTTATGCACACGCTTCTAATAACAATCTGAAACGTTTTTTGAAAAGTCCAGTCTGTTTAAATGCACTGACAGTTACCTGTTAGTCCCAAACGTTACCTGATTCCGTACCTGCGTTCGCAAGTCTCTTTTCGGCGTCTTTCATGTGCTGTTATGACGCAGAGTTTCACAGTGGCAATTAAATTCTGTGCCTTTTTTTATTAGTCTTTTCCCGTTTTTGGCGGGAATAGGAAAAAGCGGGATTCCCCTATTTAAAACGTCATGTTTATTTACTTAGTTATGTTGATGTTGAGAAGCATATTACAGATACCGCCCATATATTCTATGAATATATAGCGGGGATATTCAAGACAAGGTTTTAGAAACGTCTACATTTTTTTTATTTTATATATATTTTTTTGTAGAAAAGGCAGAGGGGATCAGAGTAGTATTTTCACAGTGAGGAACGAACTTTCTTTTTGATTTACAGAGGAGCCTTTTCTGTGGTGAGAAGATGTTTGAAAATCTCTACTGGTCAGGAATATGCTGCCAAAATCATCAACACCAAAAAGCTGTCTGCCAGAGGTGAGCTCACTCTGCTGAGTATAGCCTATCATATGCTGAAAATAATACAACTGGTTTAGTTGAGTACGGTGTTGAACTCTTACTACATCTGTAGATTTAACGTAATATATGTAATATATTATTGCATGTTGTAGTGTTCAGTATTGTTCCATTAAGGGTTTTATTGTGGTTGTATTGTAACCACAGTAAGGTCATTGCTTTTGGTTACATGTACAAAACCACAGCTGTTCTTGGCCACATAGCATTAACTACCTAGTTACTAGAGCAAGCATAACTATTGCTACTTATCATATTTAGGGTTAAGTTGAACCAACCCCTAACCCTAAGTATTTAAGGTGTCATGAACTGCATTTTAAATTGTATAATGTTTCCTGAGGTGCACTTATGATGTTAGTAGGATTTGTACATACATTTTTACTGTATTTTTACTGTAAATATTATTTAGATATAATAATTGATATATAGTAAAATAATAAAGTAATAATTAAGAAAATAAAAGGCCATTTCTACCCTGATTTTAGCCCTCTAATTTGAACACTTTAAATGGATGGGTCTCCTTTAAAACTCCAAAGTAAACGTCCACTGCTACGATTGGGTAATATCTCTGCATATGAAATAAGTATTACATGTGGAACTCATTTACTACGTCTGTACTATCATAGCTGCTGAGATGAACTAATCCTTAAATGTGCTGATTATAACATTACATTTAGATCTATTCCCATTGCAGCGCTGGTCATTGTAGGCTATCAAAGCCTTATCTGTCGAGCGAACAAATGCAGTGACCTCACGATTTCTGCACTCTCATGAATGCTTTCATCATAACAGTGCAGACACAATGTAAATAAGATATTCATCATGCAGTGTAGACATTATGCAGTGTCATTGATTTTACCGGGAGTTTTGGCCAAAGTGTAGAACTCTCTGTCAGTGATAAACATACTGTGTGATTGACAGCTCCACTGTTTATAAAGGGATTGTTTTTGATCACTTTCTGTATATTTCATGCATAAAATGCCGCAGTGATTACATATTTTTGTAGGACAGCCTGGAAGTATTACTGATGTATTTTATGTCATAGAATAAATATGAATATATATTTTGAGCTTGTATTAACCACAAACCTTATTTCAGATATTTAACCAAAAACCCATTGACTTCGATGAATCCAGAAGTGTGAAAATGCTAACTTGTTTCCAGGTTTTACAAAAAATGTCATCTCTGCAGCACTTTTTTTTACTTGAGTCTATGTTTTTCAGTAAAAGTCTGGTTGCAAAGCCTGTGTCGAATTGGGATTGGTTTACCAAAGAATCCATAGTGAAATGTACCCGAACAAACTAATAATGCTCTACTGAGACAATCGCATAGTTGAAAATAAACAGCCACTTTACTTTACAACCTAACATTACCTTCCAAAGGATCCTAATGTTATTTTTAGTCCAGTGATCCTGTTGTGCTTCTCCTGCCTCCTTCTCCTGTCATTCACTAATGCATCAGTGACTAGGTCAATGAGACCATGATGAAGAAGCAGGTGTTGATCTGTGTCCGTACAGGCGGTCTTGTGCTGATTTAATCATCTTTATTACGTAATAAAAACCTGGAAGTAGAAAGCAAGTCATTTTGGCAGTATGGTTTCAATAAAAGCTATCTTTAGCTGTTTTTTTAAAATTAATTAGACATGTGACTTTTGAAATAACAATAAACATGGGCAAAAATCTCAAGGACAAGAATCTTATAGAAACTTTGGAGTAAATCAGTAAATAATCACCTAGCACCACCCAGAAATCTCAGCAACTGCATAGCAGTGCGCCCCAAACAAAACCACTCCAACCATAACTGCACAACGTCACCCAAACCACCCATAACACTGTTCCATTGTGGCTGTGAGGTTTGCATGGGCAAGTACCAGAAGGTATAAAAACCAAGTGCAGCCTTCGAGCCATAGGACATGTATTGAGCTGAAAGAGTTACTGAATCTAAAGCACTTGGTCATGTAGTTTTATAAAATTGAGAGAATTTAGCCATCCCTTAAATATTTAAATTTTTATCTCACCTATTCTGTGCCGAAAATGTTCTTCTCTAGATTTCTGTCATTTTGAAATTGTAAATCTGGTGGAGTGCAGCATTTCTGTCTACCAGTTGTGCGTTTCCCAAACAAATATGGTCGCAAATTCCGTCATTACCAATGGAGTTCAATGGAACTTGCGACCATAGTCAGCTAACATTGCTTTTGGGAAATGCACCTCAGGTCACCACTACTGATTTAAACCGCTCAGTAACATTTGATCATGACATGGACAAGTCTACAAAGGAACTCAGTACTTTCCTGTGATGCACAGAACCCTGGAATAGGCTTCTGTGCTGTCTTTATGTTACTGCTCTGTTATGTTAATCAGCAAACGTATTTTTGCATGCGTGTGCAGCTTGTAAAATAGTTTTTCTTTTTGTTCTTTTTGTCACTTTTATTAAAATGGTACAGTGCAAATATTTTTTTTTGTTATTATTTTATTATGATTAACAATAGTCTTTAGACTGTAGCTTTGCCTTTGCAAGTTGGCTTAACGTTTAAAAAAAAAATCACTTGTAGTAGGTACCTTCAGAAGCTCGTGACATCACTTGCCGCCCACTGTAGAGCAGGCCCATTTCTTACTTATTTTGACCTTCATGGGTCAATCTGTCAATAGCATAATAGGCCAGGGGTGTTGTGGAAGCCTTGTGTTTTATGTCTGGCTGAGCTTTCAGAGGCAGCTGTTTGCTGAGTGCAAGCGTGGGATGGCTCTTGTGTCCCAGTATTGACTCCTACTGTGTCTTTAATAGACTGTCAAGTGAATGGAAAAAATAAGTCCTTTGTGTATGAGAGACCCCTCACTTGGTTACTGTGAGGGGCACTAAGAAGTGTACAGAGAATCTAACAGTAAAAGCTGAAGGTCGACATGTATGAGAAAATGTTGGAGTAGGGTAGTTGGACGTAAAATTTTCCTCAAAAAACATAAAAAAATTTACAATTTTTCAAAACAAAACAAAAGAAGAGATTTTTTTTTTTGGACCTGAATGTTATGACTCCACTTTCAGGTATGTGCAATGTAAATGCAAAGACGACTAGATTCTTTCAATTTTGGGTCAACTGAAAGGTATCTAAATTCAGTTCTTTTAAAGAGGACTCAAGTGTAAAAATCCCTCAAAGTGTTACACTTTGATCAGAACATAACTTGAACTGGACATCATTTGCTAATTTGTATTTTTTCATGCTCTGTTGAACTATTTTATTGTTTTTGTTTTTTATAAGCAATTGTATGCTTTTCTGATATTGAAGCCATTACATCACAGGAACCCCAGGGAAAACTTTTTAATAGGAAAATATTTTTCCCTGGGTTCCTGTGATATACATATACAGGGCTACAGACAAAAAATTAAATTAAGGAGCCATTGGCTCCTATAAGAAACAAAATTAGGTGCCAAATTATTATTTTTTTAGGTGCCATAGAATAAACGTGTATTATTATTTTGTTTAACATTTTAACATTTTTCCAACTTGAGAACTATATACAGTCACAAAGTATTGTTTATTACACAGAATCTGTGTCAATATCATGGACCATAATTATTTCAGCATCACTTTGCCATTGAGTGTAGTTTGAGCTCCTCCTCAATGTATCCTATAAATGTTGTCATATGTTTTGCACACATCCAGTCTGTTTTTCTTCATTAGTAACATGCAATTATATAGGAGGTATTGAATATTACCTTTAGCTCCTTGCATTCTTTCTTATCATGTCAACAGGTTAAGTAAAAATATGAATATGCGATACAGGGCATAAATTAAGCAAAATGCTCCTATTTATAGTTATTTTTTTCTGACTGACTGATGAGCTTATGGATGCGGAATGGTTATTCTGAGGTAAATGATTGTTACGTGGCATTATTTACAAGTTTTCCACATTTTCTGCAGTTTGAAACAGTGAATGAGAGACATTTCAGTAAGATGTACTCTATCTTATAAAATACCTTTTGGTGTCCATTCATTTTTAATTTGTAGGCCTACTATCGTAGTAAAGAGAAAGATAATGACGGGTTCACATGAACTGAGGTGGTAAAGCAAGCGCTCATGCCACATGAAAGAGCGCCAAAGTGGTATTCATTGTTTGAATTTCGTTATGAATTTGGCAGAATTTTAAAGCTGATACTTTGTTTATTAAAATGTAACAAAGCACAAAGCTTATTGTGATTATTGGACGGCAAGTGCGCTACAAATAATATGAAGCTCACGCATTAACAGAACACAGCAAATAGACTAAAGATCTTGATAACAAGAAGCCATATCGATTATAAACGAATTGTTAACGATATATTGTTAATGTCCACACAGCTGACAGCTTTACCTGTTGTAGTTTGTTCAAGTTGCGCACAAAATAGACACTGCTTTTCTGCACACACTTCTCACGTCTCCGCTCTCTCATCAACTGGAGCTGTGTTTTTTCACTAAAACTTTGATGTGCATCGCCTCAGTTTATTACGTAAACATAACAAAATATGTGATCGCAAAACAATCAGAAAAAAAAAGTAATTACATGCAAAATCACAACATGTCAATTTCTGTAGTCGCCATTGGCCACCTCAGCAAAAACTTCACTCGCAAATTAATATTTTAGGTCGCAGTCTGAAGTCCTGAAATTATATATATGCATATAAAGCCATGTCGCACGACTACAAGTGTCATATTGCAAATACAACAGTTTGACGGCACAAATGTGTAAATATATAAGAAAAAACAAAGGAGTGTCATAAAAAACCCTCTTGAGTGTGGAACTACTTTGGCCACGGATTCACATCTCAAGTTGACAGTTTAACAGATGAGCCCAAGCTTCTGTTATTAATTCGAAAACATCACTATAGAACTAGTAACGAAAGAACACTGAGTTGCTTCATTGAAGCTATTATGTGTAAAAGTAATAGCCTGGTAAAATA